GGAATGTAGAAACCTTACCACCATATTAGATCTGTTTACATTTCCCTCTCTATGTTGTAGATGTTTTATATATTGCCTCTGCATATATTAAAAACCCCACCAGAATTTCATAATTTGTTTTCAGCTGTCAAATTGATTGACTGATTGATTGAGACAGAGTCTTGCTCTGTCACCCAGGCTGGAGTGCAGTGGTACGATCTCAGCTCACTGCAACCTCCACCTTCCGGGTTCAAGTGATTCTACTGCCTTAGCCCCCCAAGTAGCTGGGATTACATCCTAACCCTTTTGGCACCAGGGACCGGTTTCATGGAAGACAATTTTTCCATGGATAGGGAAGTCGGGGGATGGTTTCAGGATGAAACTGTTTCACCTCAGATCACCAGATATTAGATTCTCATGAAGAGCATGCAACCTAGATCCCTCGCATGTGCAGTTCACAACACGGTTCACATTCCTATGAGAATCTAATGCTGCCACTGATTTGACAGGAGGCAGAGCTTGGGTGCTAAGGCTTGCTCACCTGCTGCTCACCTCCTGCTGTGCAACCCGGTTCCTAACAGGCCACAGACAGGTACCAGTCCATGGCCTGGGGCTTGGGGACCCCTATTTTAAGGAATTCAATAGGAGAGGAACCGTCCATTATATTTGCCCAGATGCTGTTTCTTCATTCCTTACCTTCAAGTTTCTTTCTCTCAAGAATTTTCTTAGCAGTTGTTTTATAGCAGGTCTGCTGGCAATGATTTCCCTTAGTTTTCCTCCATGAGAATATTTATTTGGCCTCCAAGTCTGAAGGATGTTTTCAGTAGATACAGAATTTTGGGTTGATCTTTTTTTTATTTTCTTTTTATTTTGGGTGCCAAGACCCAGGAGATACTTCTTTTTTCTTTTAGCACTTTAAAAATGCTATTCCATTTTCTTCTCGCCTCCATAGTTTCTGATGAGCACTCTGTAGTTATTCACATTGTTCTCTTGAAAGTAATGTGCCATTATTCTCTGGCTACTCATAAAATTTTTCTTTAACTTTAGTTTTCAGCAGTTTGATTATGGTAAGTCTGGGCAATGATTTATTTGTGTTTATCCTGTTTAGAGTTTGCTGACATTTCTGAACCTGTAGGTTTACATCTTTCACCAAATTTGGTAATTTTTCAGCCATTATTTCTTCAAGTATTTTTTCTGCACTATACTTTTTTCCTCTCTCTCTGTGACTCTAATGACATAAATCTTAGATCTTTAGGTATTGTCTCACAGGTCCCTGAGAATTAGATAATTTTCCAATCACGCTTTTCTATGTTCAGATTGGATAATATCCATTGAATAATCTTCAAAGTTGACTGTTTTTTCTCTCACTTCCATTCTACTATTGAACCCATCCAGTGAGGTTTTATCTCTGTTACTGTGTTTCTTGGCTCTGAAATCTCTATTTTATTCTCTTTACATACTCTATTTTTGGCTGAGAGTTTATACCTTTCAAGAAAATTCACTTACTTGTTGGAACAGTTAAATAATAGCTTCTTTAAAATCCTTGTCATATAATTCCAACATTTGTATCATCTAGGAGTTGGCTTCTGTCAACAGTCTTTTCCCATGCAAGTTGAGATTTTTCCTTGTTCTTTGATACCAAGTAATTTTGGACACTTTCAATATTATGCTATCAGACTCTGGGTCTTGTTTAAATACTATAAAAAATGTTTTATATTCTTGTTGCATGTGCATATGTATATTTGAGACAGGGACTTGCTTTGTCGCTCAGGTTGGAGTGCATGGCACAATCATGGCTCACTGAAGCATCAACCTCCTGGGCTCAAGTGATCCTCTGCCTTCAGCCTCCTGAAGCTGGGACTACAGGTGCACACCACCATACCTAGCTAATTTTTGTATTTTTTGTAGAGACAGGATCTCGTTATGTTACACAGATTGGTCTTAAATTCCTGGACTCAAGCAGTCCTCCCACCTCAGCCTCCCAAAGTGCTGGGATTACAGGCATGAGCCACAGACCTAGCCTATATTCTTGTTTTAGAAGGTATCAATCTGGTTGTGTCCAGGTCACAAGTTCTGATCAGCCTTCTGTGGGTTCCAATGTCAGTTCAGTTTCCAAAGTCTGCAATGCTATTCATACCAATTACACATGTGCACCAGGTAGTGACCAGTCTAGAATTTGGGCAATGATGATCTATACTATACATAGTTAAGTTCTAAAAGTCTACATATGCTAGGGAAGCCCATTTTTATTCATTTTTGGTTGAAATGTATGACGTGCTGGATTTAATAAAATACTTTTTTTCCCTGCATTTATTGAGTTGACTGTATTGTTTCTGCCAGTTCTCAGTTACCTGGTTTATGTCCTTGCACGTTTGATGATTTTTGAGTGAATTCATATTTGATCTTTGCTAATCTGTGGCAATCCAGAAAGCTTAACTTTGAGAAGTTTCTTTTCAGATGTTATAGCCTCCTTGAGACACCCCTACCTAATAAAGAAATCTCAGGTTCAGGCTGGGCACAGTGGCTCACGCCTGTAATCCCAGCACTTTGGGAGGCTGAGGTGGGCAGATCATGAGGTCAGGAGATCGAGACCATCCTGGCTAACACGGTGAAACCCTGTCTCTACTAAAAAATACAAAAAATTAGCCAGGTGTGGCGGTGGGCGCCTGTAGTTCCAGCTACTCAGGAGGCTGAAGCAGGAGATTGGCGTGAACCTGGGAGGCAGAGCTTGCAGTGAGCCGAGATCACTCCACTGCACTCCAGCCTGGGTGACAGAGCAAGACTGCATCTTAACAAAAACCCACAAAACTACCCAAATTAATCATTATTACTATTGCTCTAAAAAGCCAATGCTAACTGAAATGAATTGTCTTTGTTCACCATTCTTTCTTATATTTATATTCCTTTCATTTTCTTCTTCCTGAAGTATACACTTAAGTAGTTTCTTTTTTTTTTTCCTTTTTTTTTTTTTTGAGATGGAGTCTCGCTCTGTCACTCAGGCTGGAGTGCAGTGGCACGATCTCAGCTCACTGCAGCCTCCGCCCCCTGGGTTCAAGCAATTCTTGTGCCTCAGCCTCCCAAGTAGCTGGGACTACAGGCATGTGCCACCATGCCCAGCTAATTTCTGTATTTTTAGTAGAGATGGGGTTTCACCATGTTGGCCAGGCTCATTTCGAACTCCTGACCTCAAGGATTGTTCAGGTAGGCACAGAATTCCAGGTCAAAAGTTACTTTCTCTTTGAGTTTAAATATTGGAGCCTGAGTACAGTGGCTCATGCCTATAATACCAACACTTTGGGAGGCTGAGGTGAGAGGACCACTTGAGCCCAAGAGTTTGAGACCAACCTGGTCAACATAGTGGGATTCTATCTCTACCAAAAATATAAAAAAATTAGGTGGGCATCATGGCATGTGTGGGCATCATGGCATATGCTTACAGTCCCAGGTACTCAGGAGGCTGAGGAGCTGAACCCAGGAGGTAGAGGCTACAGTAAGCCGTGATCACACCACTGCACTCCAGCCTGGGCAACAGGGTGAGACCTCCATCTCAAAAAGCATGTAATAATTTAAAAATAAAAATAAGGATTTTAGTTCACTGTCTTATACTGTACTTCAAAAATCTGTTGTCAGCTTACTGGTCATTCCTTTCTAAAAACTGGTCTTTTCTCTTGGAAGCTTTTAGCTTTTAAAATCTCATGTTTATCCTTGGTGTTCTCCAGTTTTACTTCACAACATACATCTAGATGTAGGTTTCTATTAATTTATCTTGTTTGGGACCTTGCTTTCTTACACTGGGAAATTCATATCCTGGAAATTGCAGTCATTGTCATTTTCTCTTGTAGAGAGAGTAGAAGCTGGAAGTGCCCTTCCCTCTTCTCTCCTTTTATCCTATGTATGTTGTATACTGGACCTTCTCATTCTATCTTCTATCTTAACTTCTATTTGTCTTTCTGTGTTCCATTCTAGGTAATCTACTCAGAGCTGTGTCCTCAGGTTCTCTAATTTTATCTTCAGTTACAGGTATTAACCCCTTATCAGATAAGTGGTTTGCAAATAATTTTTTCCCAGTTCGTAAGCTGCCTTTTCATTTTGTTGCTTGTTTCCTTTGCTACACAGAAGCTTTTTCTAGTTTGATGTAGTCCCATTTATTTATTTTTGTTTTTGTAGCCTGAGCTTTTGGTGTGATATCCAAAAAATAATTGTCAAGGTCAGTGTCGAAGAGCTTATCCCCTATGTTCTCTTCTAGGATTTTTACAGTTTCAGGTCTTAACATTTAGGTCTCGTATCCACTTGGCACTGATTTGTGTAATGGTATAAGATAAAGATCCAATTTGCCTTTTTTTCTTTTTTTTGGAGACAAGAGTCTTGTTCTGTTGCCCAGGCTGCAGTGCAGTGGCGCAATCTCGGCTCACGGCAACCTCCGCCTCCCAGGTTCGAGTGATTCTCCTGCTTCAGCCTCCCGAGTAGCTGGGATTACAAATGTGCACTACCACACCCCAGCTAAGTTTTCTATTTTTATTAGAGACGGGGTTTCATCATGTTGGCCAGGCTGGTCTCCAACTCCTGATCTCAGGTGATCTGCCCACCTTGGCCTCCCAAAGTGCTGGGATTACAGGCGTAAGCCACTGCATCCGGCCAAAGGTCCAATTTCATTTTTTCTTGGAGACAGGGTCTTGCTCTATCACCCAGGCGTAGATCAACTTCAAACTCCTGGGCTCAAGCCATCTTCCTGCCTTAGCCTCTAACGAGATGAGATTACAGGCATGCGCCACTATGTCCAGCTAAGTTTTGTATTTTTTGAAGAGACAGGGTCTTGCCATGTTGCCCAGGCTGGTCTTGAAGTCCTGGGCTCAAGCAATCCTACCTTGGCCTCCCAAAGGGCTGAGATTATAGGCGAGGGCCACCCAATTTCATTCTTAACACTGACACGTGCTAACTTCTTTAGTGTACTTTGCACAGCACCACTTGAACTCATTTGGTACTATTATAACATGCAGGGCTTTATACAAGAGAGTACTCACCTGTAAGACGGGCGCCGTGCTAGGATCCCGTGGGCTTTCTGTGAGGAGCCTATGCTGTCGGATGAGTCCTGGGACTCCTCACTTTCTGATAAAGATGATACCTAAAAAAGAACTGGTGTTAACATGATGAACAATGCAGGTGGGAAAAGAAACAACTGAATTTTTACTTTTAGAAAAAAATGATCTGTCTCCTGCCACTCAAATTCATTTGTACATTAAATCTAAGGTCTAAAAGAAAGGAACAAAAGGAAAAGGGAAAATGAGAAAGTTTATTCCAGGAGCCCAACCTATTAAAGTAGTATCAAATATAGCAGGCCCAGAGCTGAGAGTAAAGTCTATCCCCCAAATGAAGCAGTACTGTTTTACTGGAGTTAAAAAGACTAGTCTCTGATTCATCCTCCACCCTATTTCTACACTGATGCACATTACTTTAAAGTGTTGTTTTATTACTAATCTACCTGACATGCTAAGTTTTAAAAAACCTGTTAAATATTCAACTGCTGACATTGAGACGACCATTAAATATACAAAGCCTGCAGGTCTGGAAAGAGGTCTGGGCTAGATACATAAATTCTAGAGATCTAGCTTTTTAGAGTCCTTAAAGCCATGAGACTGGATGAGCTCACAGGGGTAAACAGAAGAAGACTGAGGACTAGCCTCAGGAACACTAAGAGACCAGATGAAGAGGAGGAACAGCAAATGAGACTAAGATGGAGTCACCAGTAAGGATGAAAGAGAACCAAATGATTGAGCTGTCCATGGTAAACTAGTGAAGACAGCATACTGAAGAGAAAAGAATGATCAACCATGTCCAATGCTGTTTACAAGTCAGAAAAAATAAGGACTGAGAAGAGACCATTAGATCTAGCAAGGTGGAGGTCACTGGCAAAGGCAGGTATAAATATATGCCATTTTAAAATCTGTATGATTCACTTTTATCTCATTTCACAATTAAACAAGTTAATACATGTAACACTTGGCATGCATACAATATGTTAATTTTTATAAACTACATCAATACAATATCCAAGTTATAGCAATATTTTACAACTGAGAAAAGTTGTTTTCAATGTTTTTTTAAATATTTTTTATTTTTTTATTTTTGAGACAGGGTCTCGCTCTGTCACCCCGGCTGAAGTGCAATGGTGCAATGACAGCTCACTGCAGCCTCACCTTCCTGGGTTCAAGCAATCTTCCAGCCTGAGCCTCCTGAGTAGCTAGGATTACAGGTGCACACCACCATGCCCAGCTAATTCATTATTTTTTATTCTGACAGGGTCTCATTATGTTACCCCGGCTGGTGTCAAACTCCTGGGCTCAAACAGGCCTCCCAAAGTGCTGGGATTACAGGTGTTGGTCACCATGTCTGGCCTCAATTTTTTAAGCGTATTAAAACTTTCCAACATTTGTCCAAAGTTAGATTGTGATATCCGACTTCATCTTTATATATATATATATATTTTTAAAGATGGAGTCTCACTCTGTTGCCTAGGCTGGAGTGCAGTGGCACGATCTTGGCTCACTGCAACCTCCGCCTCCTGGATTCAAGTGATTCTCCTGCCTCAGCCTCCTGAATAGCTGGGATTACAGCCGCGTGCCACCATGCTCGGGTAATTTTTGTATTTTTAGTAGAGACGGGGTTTCACCATGTTGGTCAGGCTGGTCTCAAACTCCTGACCTCATGATCTGCCCGCCTCAGCCTCCCAAAGTGCTGGGATTGCGCGTGCGAGCCACCACACCTGGCCGACTTCATCTTAATTATTAAAAATAAAATAACCCAAACAGGCCTTTAGAAGGAACATAAGAAATCAATTCTCCACATTAGTTACTATCTACAGAAAGCCTTCCCCTAAACTATTTAGACATCAAATTTCCAGAGACGCTTCTTTTATATGTTATCTCCTTCAAAAATGAGTTATAGTATATAACTACTCATTTATATCCCACATTAAATCTATATCATTATATAGAAAAGAATTAGTCACAACCCAATAATAATTAAGAAATAATAACCAGTAATTTAATATAAGAAAAATCTGTCACTTTTCCTCAAGCATCATAAATACTTTTTTTTTTTTTTTGAGACAGAGTCTTGCTCTTGTCACCCAGGCTGAAGTGTAATGGCACAATCTCGGCTCACTGCAACTCCCGCCTCCCGGGTTCAAGCGATTCTCCTGCCTCAGCCCCCCAAGTAGCTGGGATTGTACAGACACCTGCCACTACGCCTGGCTCATTTTTGTATTTTTAGTAGAGACAGGTTTCATTATGTTGGCCAGGCTGGTCTTGAACTCCTGATCTCGTGATCTGCCCACCTTGGCCTCCCAAAGTGCTGGGATTACAGGTGTGAGCCACCGTGCCTGGCCATAAAATACTTCATTTCTAATCTAACTCATAAAACTACACTGTCTGTCCCTAGGCTTACTCCAAAGTCTTCCATTGAACTTAAGAAAATAAATTGTAAAACTAAGGAATTACTTGTAATTAAAATCAAATAATTTATCTTTAATAACAGCACCAGCAAATAAGAGTAAAATTTTCATATAAAACCTAAAAAATCCATGCAGCCACCTCCTTTCACATGTGAATACCACATAAAGATGCAGCTCCAGTTTTGACAACATTGCCATAATCAGGAGAAGAAAATGAGAAATACAGCTTTTCTTCTAGGAGAGCTGCTTCTAAAAATGAGAGATGACTAAAGGTATTCTGGGACTCACAGAAATTGGAAGATAAAATGGGAAAAGTAGAAAGAAAAGGAATCTAGGATGGCTCTTTCTTTCCTACTTTTGTCAGACATTAATATGAAGGTAGATAAATACAAATAAGAACTTTCCTCTACAACAAGAGAACTCTTTTATTTGACCTCCATAAATTATACGGTAGGTAAGTACTGACTCCATAAAGCATATAGAAAGTACCTGGGATAAAAGGGTGCTTTCCCTTTTTAAAAAAAGTCCTTCATTTCCTTAAATCATTAGCAATAACTTTCCCTAAAATTATCTTCTATTTTCACTAGGTATTATATACATGAAACCAGAAATTCTAAAACTTTTCTATTTGCCTGATTTGGTCTGCAGTCTAATTTATAAGACAACTTTATCTTGGTTTATAATATTATAGGTACAGCAACGGCAATGTATCTGAAGACTCAGGGTCTAAAAGTCCCAACTCTTGACCACTAAGTCTTCAAATTTCTGTACTGTGTGCACAGGTGGGTGAATTACAGAAGACTGAGCTGTCTGGATGACCCCCTGAACCTGTACTTGCTCTCTAGGAAGAGGTACAGTTGTCACTAGTGCAGATCCTCTTAATGACAATAGAACAAATACAAATTCAGTTAATAAAATATATATTGTACCTATGCATGTAAGATAGCTGAGTTCTTAACACTGGAAACACATTTCAGAGCTGATTATATTGAATTGCATCATTAACCAAACATCAGGTACCTTCTATTGACCAGAGGCTGAACTAGGGACTGAGAGTACAAACTAACTATAACAACCAGAATAAGAGTTATAATAGAGGAAAATTACAAAGCACTGTACTGTGGGAGCAAAGAAAGGGTGTTACTTCATCTGGGTTTTGAACGATTAACAATTACTTGAGGGCTATGTATGGAGGGGCAGGAATTAGGGGACTGGAAGGTATTTTAGGCAGACGAACTGACTGTGCAAAAACATGGAGAATCTTTAGCACATGCTATTCTGAAGAGATGGGGCTGAAAACTAACCAAGAAACCAAGAGTCAAAAAATGAGTAAAACACCAACTTTGGACAGCATCTTGAAAGAAAAATAAAATATTTCGAGCAAATGATTGAATCATGAAATTATAATTTATTTCTGTTGAAATCAGAGGCGGTTTCATGGAAATACCACGATAAAATGCTAAACTAAGAAAAGTCCACTCATCATCCCTCAAGGCTCATCTCAGGTTCTACCTCTTCCAAAAAGCTTTCTCAAATATTTCCAGTTAACAGAGATCTCATGCTTTCCTCTGGACTACTCTGGTCCATACCATTCCTCTTGGACTTAAATCACAAAATAAAATCCTGGACTACTTCTCAGGCCCTGAAAGTAAGCTTCCTGCCTCCTTCCCTGTTCTCTTTCTTCACTTTGGGCTCCAAGAATACTGCTTTCCCTGTTCCCCCGACCCTTTTTTATTCTCCAAGAATATTGCTTTCCCTGTTCCCTTGTGTTCTTTGGGACTGAGTTTCACTTCTTCCCAGGCTGAAGTGAAGTGGCCCGATCTCGACTCACTGCAACTTCCGCCCCTGGGTTCAAGCGATTCTCCTACCTCAGCCTCCAGAGTAGCCCGGATTACAGGCATGCGCCACCACGCCTGGCTAATTTTTGTATTTTTAGTAGAGACGGGGTTTCCTCATGTTGGCCAGGCTGGTCTCGAACTCCTGACCTCAGGTGATCCACCCGCCTCGGTCTCCCAAAGTGCCAGGATTACAGGCGTGAGCCACCGCACCCAGCCTCCCTGTTCCCTTTCTTCTTTCACTGAAAGTTCTTTTCTTCTTCCCAAGACTAGATGAAACAAACTCCAGTCTCATCCTCCCTCAAAATGCCTAGGGTCATGAAATTCTGTATAAAATGTATCCAGCCACTGAGAATTGTAAACTCCATTTGTAGCACAAACAACGCCATTCAACTCCCCTCGTACTAACTGACCAAATTCTTGACCAATGGCTTTTGTCAGGCCAAGGATGTGTCCCTAGAATGACCCCAGAACCCCCTTAAAACGCCTGCCTGAGAAAGTTCAATTCTACCAAAAGAATTTACTGTTTGTTCCAGAAAAACTTGACTACAGGCCCCTATCCTCACTTTTCTTACAGTATTTTAGAAAACTTGCTGTTACGAATCCTTTCTCTGTCCCGTCAGATGTAAATATTCTAAAACCTAGAAGTCTTTCTTTGGGCCTGTAAATGTAGTAACCAAGAAAGAAAAGATATGGTCCCTGTCTCCCAGTCTGTGGGAGAGTAGGAGCCTAACTTTGACAAGTGCCAATGAGCAAACAAGATGGCTAATCATGGTGACAATTCCTTCCCTCTCCCAAGCATCTTATGTACTTTTCCTTTAGAACACCCCAATATTTAAAAAACTTTCCATCTGTTGTGTTTCAGTGGAGCTGAGCTCAGTTTATGTTGGAGTTTCTCTCCTATACTGCAGTAATCTGATAAAATCTGTCTTGCTGCCTTCAACAAATGTCCAGCTCTGCTCCTCTCTGACAGTACCCCAATATAGGCATACAGAAATTGAAGAATAAGAATAGACAAAGAGCTGGGTGCAGGGGCTCATGCCTATAATCCCAGCACTTTAGGAGGACAAGGCAGGCAGATCCCTTGAGCCCAGGAGTTCAAGACCAGCCTGGGCAACATGGTAAAATGCAGTCTCTACAAAAAATACAAAAATTAGCCAGGTTTGGCAGTGCACGCCTATAGTCACAGCTATGTGGGAGGCTAAGCTGGGAGGATTGCTTGAGCCCAGGAGGTAGAGGTTGTGGTGAGCTGCGATTGCACCACTGCACTCCAATTCTAGCCAAGGTGACAGAGTAAGAACTGTCTCAAAAAAAAAAAAGAACCCACAAGTCTTAAGAGTCTAGCTCTAGAGTTACACTTGGAAAACATTAACAAAACCGTCTCCCCACCTTTCAACAACTGAAGCCACTCAGCTAATGGAGAGAACATATGATAGGATTAATTTACATCTCTAAAAGGTAAGGGCCATCATTCCTCAAAGGTTTCTGGCAATTCATGTGATTTAATACAAGCTGTGGGTCTGGCAGGTTGAAAAGGCAAAGAGGCACCAGATTTTGATTTAGCTAGTAGTAGTAGTTCCTATCCCTTATTACTACGGTTCGCCTAACCTCACAAAATGCTCATTACTCACGGTCTCAAAGTCCTGATTCTCTTCCCAGCCCCACTCTCAAACCTGATAATCTGAATATTGAGAGACCTTTCAAAGGAGGAAAGTGAGGAGCTGGTCCCCAGTCTTTTTTGTGGGGGGAGAGGGGGCAGGGTCTCACTCTGTCAACCAGCCTGGAGGGCTTTGGCACAATCTCAGCTCCCTGCAACCTGTCCCCTGCGTTCAAGCGATTCTCCTGCCTCAGCCTCCTGAGTGGCTGGGATGACAGGCACCCGCCACCACGCCCGACTAATTTTTGTATTTTTAGTACACATGGGCTTTCACCATGTTGGCCAGGCTGGTCTTCAACTCCAGGCCTCATGTGATCCACCCACCTCAGCCTCCGAAAGTGCTAGAATTACAGGTGTAAGCCACTGCACTCAGCCAGAACTTCATACTACTTCTCTGTCCACTGGTTCACTTATATTCTAAAGATTCTGGATTCTAAATTATCAGTCCAAAATCTAAAATAGAGCAAGAACAACTAAAAATAAACAGTAAACAGGCCAGGCGTGGTGGCTCACACCTGTAATCACTTTGGGAGGCCAAGGTGGGTGGATCACCTGAAGTCAGAAGTTCAAGACCAGCCTGGCCAACATGGTGAAACCCCGTCTCTAGTAAAATTACAAAAATTAGCCAGGTGTGGTGGCGTGCGCCTGTAGTCCCAGCTACCCGAACCGCTGGAACCCAGGAGGTGGAGGTGGAAGTTGTAGTGAGCTGAGATCGCGCCACTGCACTCCAGCCTGAGCAACAGAGCGAGACTCTGTCTCAAAAAAAAAAAAAAAAGATCTCATTTAATATATATTATCACTGAACTACGTATCACAGTCGATAGCACTGTTAACTCATGCCTGAATGAAACTTATCTAACACATGTATTTCCTCCATAAGGCACATCACAGCCTTCTTGCACTTAGAACACAAGATAGCACTTTGTACTACACCTGGGAGTCATTTTTAAATAGCAAAATCACCAACAAAAAGGAGAAAAATGCAAAAAATGTAGTTATACTAACCAGACTGCAAAGAGGCCAATTGTTTATACTATGAGAGCTGATGCAAGAAGAAACAGCGTCACCTTGTTTGACTTCAGCTAGGAATACAGGGAATGACTCAAATTTTTTGCCACGTGGCACATGTCCATGAATAACTGCAAAAGTACCATGAGTATTGTTTTTGGAGTTAGAATTTTATCAAGTAGGCAAATTTGCAAATACAGAATCTGTGAATAATAGGAACTCAGGAAGCAAAGGCAGGAGGATCACTGGAGGGCACGAGTTTGAGGCTAAAGAAATATGATCATGCCACTGCACTCCAGCTTAGGCAACAGAATAATACTCGGTTTCCAAAAAAAAAAAAAGGGCCAGTTGCAGTGGCTCATGCATGCCAGCACTGCACTTTGGGAGGCTGAGGTGGTTGGATTATTTGAGCTTAGGAGTTTGAGACCAGCCTGGGCAACACTGCAAAACCCCATCTCTACATAAAAATACAAAAAAATTAGCCGGATGTGATGGTACACACTTGTGGTCCCTGCTACTTGGGGAGCTGAGGTGGGAGAATTGCTTCAACACAGGAGGTCAAGGCTGCAGTAAGCTATGTTCATGCTACTGCATACCAGTCTGGGTGACACAATGAGACCCTATCTCACAAAAAAAAAAAAAAAAAAAGGTTGGCTGTAAAAGTTATTTTTTATTCCTCATCTTATTTGACCTATCAGCCACATTTTACACAGCTGACCATCACTCATGCTGATTTCCAAGATTTGAGTTACTCTTGATTTTCCTCCTACCTCACTGACAATCCCTCTTCAATCTCCCCAAACTCCAAATGCTAAGGAAGCCCAGATCCACTGACTCATCTCTACAATACTTACCCTTCAGTCATCCCATCTAGTCACATGACTTTGATCACACTACACCCACGTTAAAGAGACATCGTTCCACAGTTCTTGGATGCTCTATTTTTCTCTCTGTCCTTTCCTTTGTTCTCTCTTTTCACTGTGGGTAATTTCTACTGGCCTATCTTCAAGTTCACTGATTCTTTTCTTAGCTGTGTCAAGTCTACTAGAAACACGTACTTCACCTGTGTCACCATTTTTTTTTTTTTAGACAAGGCCTCACTCTGACACCTAGGCTGGAGTGCAATGGGGCGATGGTGGCTCACTGCAACCTCTGCCCACTGGGCTCAAGCAATCCTCCCACTTCAGCCTCCTGAGTAGCTGGGACCACATGGTGTGCACCACCATGCCTGGCTTATTTGGTTTTGTAATTTTAGTAGAAATGGAGGCTTGCCATGTTGCCCAGGCTGGTCTTGAACTCTTGAGCTCAAGCAATCTGTCTGCCTCGGCCTCCTAAAGTGCTGGGATTACAGGCATGAGCCACCACACCATTTTTATTTCTGACATTTCCATCTGAATTTTTCATATAGTTTCCAACCCTCTGCTGAAATTCCCCAGCTGTCTATGCATGTTTTCCACCTTTCCCACTGGAGCCTTTAACATATTATCCTTTGTTATTTGAAATTCACTCTCTGATAGTTCCAAGCTGGGTTATTATCCTGAGTCTGGTTCTGTTTATTGTTTTGTTTTTTGACAGTGAGTTTTTTGTGTGCTTTTGGTATGTGTTTTGTAATTTTTGCCTGAATGATAGACATCATGGGTAAGACAGTACAGACTAAAGTAAATAGTATTTATCTTCAGAAATGGGAAAACAAGAGGGTACGCCTCTTCACTAGGGGGTGTGTGTGTAGGTGTAGGGAAGGGGTTGAGTCATCTATTCAACAATTGAGCTGGGTTTGGATTTTGTTGTTGTTTGAATTACCTTAAGAGTACTACCAGCTTCAAATTCCTCTAGCGTGACTTTCTGCTTAGGGTGGGGCTGGTATGTCAGAGGGTTTTTCTCATTGTTCTTGCCACATACTCAGCCTTAGGCTTCATCTGTGCTTCTGCCCCAAAGAGGCTCTCTCCATACTCTTGTCCCTCCCCCAGGGGTAGATTGCTATTGCTTGACTGGACAGCAGCAACAGGGAGGTTCTCTGTTGTCCTGGTCCAGTCTCAGTCTCAGGGAGGCTCTATGTCCCTTGGTTACAGGGGTTGGGGCTTTCTCCCAGTGGCAGAAAAACTCTAACAGTCTAAGCCCTTAACAGTTTCCTGCCATTTCCTCAGGGTTTGTGGGTTTTCTTTTTCTTTTAACTTTTCCCAGACACAATGGAAAACAGGGTTTATCCCCTTTCTCCTAGTGGCTTAAAGATTTTTTTTCCAAAGGAAAAAAAGGTCCAAGTAGGCCTATACCACCTACCAAGGCATTCTCTGGTCTTCCTTGTGTCCCCAGCCCCATTTTTCTCCTAAGCAACTGTTGGAGGTCCTCGGAGAAAAACCTACAAGAGGGTATGAACTGTCTTTGTGTCTGCAGCTCCCAAGGATTCTACATGCTCACGCTTGCCTACGCTTGGACTTTAGCAATTCATTAATTTTCCTGCTAGTATGCAGCCTTGCTTTCTTAATGTGCTCTGCCACAGGTGAGCCACGCCCACACCCCACCTCTATGAGTTTGTTATTATTTTATAGAACATACAACATATTTTTGTTTTAGGGTAAGAGTAACATTCTTTCCAGCTTTCTACATCCTAGGGGGAGTCTGGAAATCATTCCATGATTATAAATACCACCTATATAGCCACAGCTCCTAAATTTAGATTTCTAGTCTGGACCTCTCTCCTGGACCCCAGACTCATGTTTCTAGCTGCCTGCTGGATAAATCTACTTGGACAGTCTGCCCAACAGATTTTAGGGTGGTTCCCATGATCTGCAGCTCCTGGTGTTTGGGACTTTGTCTAAACCTCTCCCCTTGAGAGTGGGAGGGACTTGTGACTTGCTTCTAACCAACCTTATTAGGCAAAGATGATGGGATGTCATGTTTTATCACAAGGAAATGGGATGTCATTCCTTTGATTATATTATGTATAAGACTCTGTCTTGCTAGCAGCCTTGCTCTCACTCTCCTGCTGGACTTGAAGCAGGCTGCCATGCAGTGAACTGCATACAGAGGGGATCACATGGCAGGGAGTTACTGGTGGCCATTAGGAGCTATGGGCAGCCTCCAGCCAAGAACCAACCAAAAAACTGAAGCACTCAGTCCTAAAGCCACAATGAAATGAATTCTGCCAACAAACTAAGTGAGCCTGGAAGTAGATTCTTCTCTAGTCTAGCCTCCTGCTAAGAATTCAGCCCTAGCCAATGCCTCAATTGCAGTTTGGTGTGAGACCCCAAAGCAAAGAACCCACTTAAGATATGCCTGACCCCACAAAAACTGTGAGATAATAAATGTGTGTTGTTTTAAGCTATTAGCTTTGTGGTGATTTGTTCTGCAGCACAGAAAACCAATACAGATACCAGTACAGACATAACATGCCTAAAAACCAAATTCCTGATTGCCAACATTCCCCCAAAAAGAAAATGGAAAACATCCTCCAGTGTTGTCAATAAATGGCAATTATATATATACATGTGTGTGCGCATATATATGTTTTTTATATATATATATATATATATTTTTTTTTTTGAGACAGGGTGGGTCTACACTATGTTGCCCAGGCTGGTCTGGAACTCCTGGGCTCAAGCAGTCCTCCCACCTGAGCCTCTCAAGCAGATGGGATTACACGCATGCACTACCATGCCCAGCTCAAGTTATTTCATTCTTACAGTTGCTCAAACCAAAACTGTGACATCAATCTTGGCTCCTTCCTTTACTTAAAACTCCACATCCAATCCAAAAGCAAATACTATTGGCTTTACAACCAATATATATCCAGAATCTTAACTTTGTCTCATCACTACCACAGCTACCACATTGGTCCAAGCCATTGTCATCTCCCATGTACATTACTGTAATGCCTTCTAACTGGTTTTCCTGTTTCTACTCCACAAAACAGTCTGAGGGATTCTTTTAAGATATGCCAGATAATGTTTCTACTCAAAACACTCTAAAGGTTCCCCATGTTACCCAGATTAAAACACAACAATATTACAGTGGCAAATGCCCTGCATTATCTGGCACTCTCCCCTCTTCGCACCCCAACCCTCTCTGCGTCATCCTCTATCAGTCCCTCTCCCAACACACTGGCCACCTCGGTGTTCCTTAACCGTATCAAGCACATATTAGTCTCACAGTTTTATAACTGTTGGTCCATATAATTGAACAGGTATTTCCTCAGACATATGTCTCTGACTACCTTGTATAAAAAGAGAAATCCCCTGTCCTCCACCACTAACTCCCTCTCTCTCCTATCCTGCTTTGTCTCCATGGCACATATTACCAACTGATATGTTTTGTTGCTCGTCTCTCCAAAATTAGAATATAAGTTCCAGGAGAGCTGAGACTTTTGTTCACTGCTATATCCCCAGTTTATACTGAATTATTGTAAAATACTGTTTCCTTTACGTAATTTTTTTTTTTTTTTTGAGACAGGATCACGCTCTGTTACCCAGCCTGGAGTGCAATGGTGCAATCACAGCTCACTGCAGCCTTGACCTCTGGGGTTCAAGTGGTCCTCTCACTTCTGCCTCCTGAGTAGTTAGAAATACAGACAAACGCCTCCACACCTGGCTAACTTTTTAAATTTTTTAGTAGAGACAGAGTCTCATTATGTTGCCCAGGCTGGTCTCAAACTCCTGGGCTCAAGTGATCCTCAGTATCCCAAAGTGCTGGGATTATAGGTGTGAGCCATCGTGGCCAGCCATTTTTTTTTTTTTTTTTTTTGATGGGGTTTCACCATTTGGGCCAGGCTGATCCTGACCTCGTGATCTACCCGCCTCAGCCTCCCAAAGTGCCGGGATTACAGGCGTGAGCCACTGCGCCCGGCCTGCCAGCCATATTATTTTTAAAAATCACTATAAAATGATTTACTACCTAGAAATGTATTTATTTCACCTCACCGTAAATATGCTTCTGAGGAAATTTGGAGAAGAGTCACATCTAACCAAAATAACTGAAATATATATATAAGTAAGCCAACTGAATTAGAACATTTCTGTAAGGGGCTCTATTAACAGAAATATAATCAAAGAAAGACTCCACCTTATTTTTCTAGCACCATTTGGAGAAGACACTGCTATTCTTCACAGATATAGCCAAATAATGCAGAAGGATATATCAAGCTTAAAGGATTAACCCTTTGGGTCACTGGTTTTCAAACCTTTTGGTCACAAATCCTTTCAACATTCTTAAAACTTACTGAGGACCCCCCAAAATTATTTGAGTTATATTTATTAATACTTACTATAGGCCGGGCGCGGTGGCTCAAGCCTGTAATCCCAGCACTTTGGGAGGCCGAGACGGGCGGATCACGAGGTCAGGAGATCGAGACCATCCTGGCTATCATGGTGAAACCCCGTCTCTACTAAAAAATACAAAAAACTAGCCAGGCGAGGTGGCGGGCGCCTGTAGTCCCAGCTACTCGGGAGGCTGAGGCAGGAGAATGGCGTAAACCCAGGAGGCGGAGCTTGCAGTGAGCTGAGATCCGGCCACTGCACTCCAGCCTGGGCGACAGAGCGAGACTCCGTCTCCAAAAAAAAAAAAAAACTTACTATATTTAAAATTAAATTTTAAAAAGTTAACAGTTCATTTCAAAATACAATAACAAATCCATTACATGTTACCATACCTATTTCCATTAATACATTTTCAAAAAAAAATTAGTGAGAGAAATGGCATTGTTTTACATTTCCGCAAATTTCCTTAATATCTGGCTTAATAGAAAACAGCTGAAATCAGCCGGGTACAGTGGCTCATGCCTGTAATCCCAGCACTTTGGGAGGCCAAGGTGGGTGGATCACTTGAGGTCAGGAGTTCGAGACCAGCCTGGTCAACATGGCAAAACCCCATCTCTACTAAAAATACAAAAATTAGCTGGCCGTGGTGGTGGGCACCTGTATTCCCAGCTACTCGGGAGGGTGAGGCAGGAGAATCACTTGAACCCAGGACGCAGAGGTTGCAATGAACTGAAATCACACCACTGCACTCCAGCCTGGACAACAGAGCAAGACTCTGTCTCAAAAAACAAACAAACAAACAAACAAAAAAAGAAAAAGAAAACAGTTGAAATATCTTCTGATTCAACATTATGTTATCATACATTGTTTTGGTTGAATTATATGAAGAAAATCCGCCCTCACATAGATATGCAATTAGAAAAGATATGTAGTGTTTTAATAGCCTTTTCATTTGCTTGTATTCTTTGATACAACAGCAAAACTCAGCAAGTTATAGTTTCTTAAAGGTTATTTGCTATGTACAGTCTGAACTTTGTGTATTCTGTTAACATTAAAATCCATTAGTCTAATCTTGCACTTTAAATGGCTCTTACACTCATGCATTTTTTTTTTTTTTTTTTTTTTGGAGATAGGGTCTCACTCTGTCACCCAAGGCTGGAGTGCAGTGACATGATTATAGCTCACTGCTGCCTTGAACTCCTGGGCTCAAACAATCCTCCTGCTTCAGCCAAGTAGCTGTTACTACAGGTGTTGTAGTGCCACCACACCCAGCTAATTTTTAAAACTTTTTTGGCCAGGCGCGGTGGCTCACGCCTGTAATCCCAGCACTTTGGGAGGCTGAGGTGGGTGGATCACCTGAGGTCAGGAGTAGTTTGAGACCAGCCTGACCAACATGGTGAGTCCCTGTCTCTACCAAAAATACAAAAAATTAGCTGGGTGTGGTGGCAGGCACCTATAATCCCAGCTACTCAGAAGGCTGAGGCAGGCGAATCGCTTGAACCCGCGAGGCAGAGGTTGTAGTTACCCGAGACCGTGCCACTCCATTCCAGCCTAGGCGACAGAGCGAGACTCCATCTCGAAAACCAAAACCAAAGGAAACAACTCTAAATACGGTTAGGCTTCTTTATTCATGGGTTCTGCATCCATGAGTTTCACATCCGTGGAGTCAACCAACCACAGATTGAAAATATTCAGGAAAAAAAATTTCTCTATACCGAACATGTAGAGACTTTTTTTCTTGTCATACAGTATAACTACTGACATAGCATTTACATAGTATTACGTATTAAAAGTAATCTAGAAATGATTTAAAGTATACAGGAAAATATGTAGGTTATATACAAACACTATGCCATTTTCTATCGGGGCTTTAAGCATCACAGATTTTGGTATCTGTGGGAGGTCCTGGAACCAATCTCCCACAGATACTGAGGGATGACTATATACTTAGTTTAAAAGAAAATAAAACCAAATGATCTTGACAAGATATTTAAAGGCCACCTTCTTTTCCTATATTTTAACATTTTATACAGTCTTTTTTTGCTTGGTTTTCTACTGTATTTTTTATTTAATTTTATGATATGGAGTCTCGCTCTGTTGCCCAGGCTGGAGTGCAGTGGCATGGTCTGTGCTCACTGCAACCTCCACCTCCCAGGCTCAAGTGATTCTCCTACCTCAGCCTCCTGAGTAGCTGGAATTATAGGCAACCGCCACTGCGCCTGGCTAATTTTTGTATTTTTATTAGAGACAGGGTTTCACCACGTTGGTCAGGCTAGTCTCAAACTCCTGTCCTCATGATCTGCCCACCTTGGCCTCCCAAAGTGCTAGGATTACAGGCGTGAGCCACTGCGCCTGGCCTTTCCTTTTTTTTTTTTTTTTAAACATTAATGCTGGGTGTGGTGGCTCATACTTGTAATCACAGCATTTTGGGAGGCCAAGGTGGGTGGATTACCTGAGATCAGGAGTTTGAGAACAGCCTGGCCAACATGGTAAAACCCCATCTCTACTAAAAATACAAAAAATAGCCAGGTGTGGTGGCAGATGCCTGTAGTCCCAGCTACTTGGGAGGCTGAGGTAGGAGAACTGCTTGAATCCAGGAGGCGGAGGTTTCAGTAAGCCGAGATTGTGCCATTGCACTCCAGCCTGGGCAACTAGAACAAAAATCTGTCTCAAAAAATAAAAATAAAAAAAATAAAATAAAATAAAAATAAAACACATTAATAATCAGTCTGAAACAAGAGATTAATCTGCATATAAAATATTCCTAACGAGCTCAGTATTTTGGCCGGTCCCTCCCTTACCTGTTGAGCAATATGAGAAATGTGAGCTCCCTGAACTGCTGAACCAGGTTGAGGTGCTGTCTCTGACGTGGTACTCTTGTGGGAATCTTCCATAATCAACTACAAGGGAGGAAAAAGTCAGTTAAAATTAAATATGATACAGAATATTTAAAGTATACTATAGAGTCATATAAAAATTGATCATTTGGTTGCCTCATTGGAAAAAAACTGGTAGCAATGGTATAGAGATAGAAAGGCGACTTTGCATATTCTTTAATTTTTTTGAATTTTGGTCCACAAAAACATGTTTAAATGTAATAAAAGGCACATATGAACATAAATTATGATGATTAAATTTTCAAATGTTATCCCATTGAAGAATGATTACACTCTTCCTGTCTATGGATACAAACATATCTGTCTCTAGGGAAGTTTCTAAGTGCACATACAGTTTTTTATATAGAGAATTTACTGAGTAAAAGTTGAACAAATAAATAAAACTATACCTAAGGAGGTTCTAAATAGGTTCCAGAAAACTTAGATAATCAACTTCAGGATATGTAGGCTGGGTAAGAATGAGAATAAATGAGCTATGAGAGATCAAATACGGCAAATAGGGAGAGAACCACTAACAAAGAAGCTGGTAAAAGATTTAGATAGAATTTAATGTTTTTAAAGGTTATCTGGAAAGGCAAAAAAAAAAAAAAAAAAAGAGAGGGTTAGCCAGCAGGCATATGAAAAGATGCTCAATATCACTAACTATTAAGGAAATGCACTGAAAACTACAATGAAATATCACCTCATACATACCCATTAGAATGGGTAATATCAAGATACAGAAAATACCAAGTGTTGGCAAGGATGTGGAGAAACTGGAACCCTTGTACACTACTGTGCTGGTGGGAATGTAAAGTGGTACAGCTATTATGGAAAATGCTATGGCAGTCCCTCAAACAAAAACAGAGCAATTTCACTTGTTGGCGTATATATCCAGAAGAACTGAAAGCAGGGTCTCAGAGTATTTGCACACCTATGTCCAGGGCAGCATTATTATTCACAATAGCCAAAAGGTGGAAGCAACCCAAATATTCATCAGTGGATTAATGGATAAATAAAATAGTGACTGTACATACAATGGAATATTGTTCAGCCTTAGGAAGAAACTCCTGTCACACGCTACAACATGGATGAACCTTGAGCATATTGTGCTAAGTGAAATAACCCAGTCATAAAAACACAAAAACTTTATGATTCCACTAATTTGATGTATCTAGAGTAGCAAACTCCATAGAAACAGGAAGTAGAATGGTGGCTATCAGGGACTAGGGGAAGGAGGAAATGGAGAGTTGCTGTTTAATGGGCATGAAAAAGTTCTGGGCTGGGTGTGGTGGCTCAAGGCCATAATCCTAGCACTTTGGAAGGCCAAGGCAGGTGGACTGCCTGAGCTGAGGAGTTCAAGACCAGCGTGGGCAACATGGTTTCTACTAAAATACAAAAAAAATTAGCCAGGGGTGGTAGCAGGTGCCTGTGATCCCAGCTACTTGGGAGGCTAAGGCACAAGAATTGCTTGAACCTGGGAGGCGGAGGTTGCAGTGAGTGGGATTGTGCCACTGCAATGCAGCCTGAGTGACAGAGGGAGACTCTCTAAAAAAAAAAAAAAAAAAAAGCTCTGGACATTGGTTGTACACACTATGAATGTACTTAACACTATAGAACTGTATGTTTAAAAATGGTTAATATGGCCAAGTGCGGAGACTCACGCCTGTCATCTCAGCACTTTGGAAGGCCGAGGTAGACGGATCACGAGGTCAAGAGATCAAGACCATCCTGGCCAACATGGTGAAACCTCGGCTCTACTAAAAATACAAAAATTAGCTGGGCGTGGTGGTGTGCACATGTAGTCCTAGCTACTCAGGAGGCTGAGGCAGGAGAATCGCTTGGGGAGGCAGAGGTTGCAGTGAGCCGAGATCGTACCACTGCACTCCAGCCTAGTGACAGAGCAAGACTCTGTCTCAAAAAAAAAAAAAAAAAAAAAGGTTAATATGGCCAGGTTTGGTGGCTCACGCCTATAATCCCAACACATTGGGAAACTGAGGTCCAAGAATCACATGAGCCCAGGAGAGACCAGACCTGGCAACATAGTGAGAACCTGTCTCTACAAAAAATAAAAAATTAGCTGGGCATGGTAGTATGCTCCTGTAGTCTCAGCTACTCAGGAGGCTGAGGCGAGAAGATTGCTTCAGCCCAGGAGTCAAGGTTGCAGTGAACTGAGATCACACTACCGCACTCCAGCTTTGTCTCAAAAAAAAAGATAGTAAATTCTGTTACGTGTATTCTTCCACAATTAGAGAGAGAGGGCAACTAGGTAGCTGCCCCTTGGCTTCACTGAATTAGTAACTGTGGCATTTAAGCCTACATATTTTCTTCTTCCTTTTTTCTAAGTCAGAAAACTTTTTTTTTTTTTGAGACAGGGTCTCGCTCCACTGCCCAGGCTGGAGTGTAATGGTCCAATCTCAGCTCACTGCAGCCTTGACCTCCCAGGCTCAACCCATCCTTCCACCTCAGCCTCCTGAGGAGCTAGGACTACAGGTGCATACCACCATGCCTGATTAATTTTGGGGGGGTCTTTTCTGTACAGATGGGGTTTTGCCATGTTGCCCAGGCTGGTCTTGAATGCCTAGGCTCAAGTAATTACTGTCTACCTCGGCCTCCCAAAGTGCTGGGATTACAGGTGTAAGCCACCATGCCCAGCCCAAATTCATTTTTAACAACTGAATCGAAGCTATTGTTTTTAGTCATTGGAAAAGGCAAGAAATCGCTTCAAACAGAAAGTAGTTTAAATTTTTTTCCCTCAAATACATCACTAGTCTTTTTCTTCTTACACGGAAAATACACAATAGAAAGAAAACAGGATGACAGATATTAATCACAATATTGTCTAATTTCTTGTAGTCTTCTATTTCCACAACTTTACTTAAAATCATAACCATATTACATGTACTACTTTGTATCCTCACATTTTGTATCCTGTTTTCATTTATCATACATATCTTCTAGGTTTTAAATAGAAACATATTTAAAGGCTACATAGGCTGGGCAGCGTGGCTCATGCCTGTAATCCCAGCACCTTGGGAGGCCGAGGTGGGCAGATCATCTGAGGTCAGGAGTTTGAGATCAGTCTGGCCAGCACGGGGAAACCCCATCTATACTAAAAATACAAAAAATTAGCTGGGTGTGGTGGCACATGTCTGTAATCCCAGCTACTCAACAGGAGAATCGCTTGAACCCAGGAGGCAGAGGTTGCAGTAAGCTGGGATTGTGCCACTGCCCTCCAGCCTGGGCAACAGAGCCAGACTCCATCTCAAAAATAAATAAATAAGTAAGTAAGTAAGTAAGTAAAGACTACATAATACAGCATCCAGGGAATGTGCATAAATTGTATTTTTTTTTTTTTACCAAAACAATACTGTCATAAACATCTCTGGTGCATAAACCTTTTTCTGTAGTTAAGATTTTTTTCTGTAGTTCCAAAAGAGAATTACTTAATGTAAGGGAATTACGTAGGAAATATTTAAAGTGTTCTGAATGAATATAGTTTATCAAAAGCATGTAAGGAAGCAATAGAAATAATTAATTTGATAGGCAAAAAATGTACATGGTTTCATATTTCTTTAATTCTCCATTAGTTGTGTGAGTTATCTGGTCATATCATTTGTCCATCCATTACCAGAGTCTTAGTGTTTTCCTCCTCCTTTTTTTTTTTTCTTTTTTTGAGACAGGGTGTTGCTCTGTGACCCTGGCTGGAGTGCAGTGGTGCGATTACAGCTCACGGCAGTCTCAATCTCCTGAGCTCAAGTGATCCTCACACCTCAGCCTCCCAAGTAGCTGGGACCACAGGCACATATCACCATATCCGGCTAATTTTTTAAATTTTTTGTGGAGACAAAGTTTCGGCCTTGAACTCCTGAGCTCAAGCAATCCACCCACCTTGGCCTCCTAAAGTGCTGTGATTACAGACATCAGTCACACTGGTCAATTCAGTGCTTTTTAATCTACACTAATACAAGGTAATCCCACAGACTAATATACAAACAGAAAAGACAAAATCAGGTACCTTCTGCATAATATCTCTACTAAAAATACCTTTTAAATACTCTACTTCAGAAAATATAAGAATACAGAGCAAAGAAGAAAAAAGAAGATGTAATCCTAAAGCACTGAAACTATAAAAGAGTTTTTATAATCTTGTTAATTACTAGAAATGATACTTTTGTTTTGATCTTGTTAATTACTAGAAATGATACCTTTGTTTTTTCCCTCCGTAACAATATCCTTAAGAATTCCTACTTCTCCATCTTGGACAATGTAGCAAGACCTCGTCTCCATAAAAATTTTTTTTTTAATTAGCAAGGTGTGGTGGCTGTGGTCCCAGATCCTGCAGGAGGTGGGGGTGCTGGAGAGGGGGGCGCCCACTGATACTGGAGGATCACTTGAGCCCAGGAGGTTGAGGTTGCAGTGGGCCATGATCGTGCCACTAACATTCCAGCCTGGGTGACAGCAAGACCCTGTTTCAAAAAAGTAAAATACATTCCTACTTCTATAGAAACTAATATGATCAACAAAAAAACACATAACAGTAAAAGCCACTATAATCAGCAAGTAACATTTTGGACAATAATTATAACCACCTTTCCTACAAAAAAGATAACAGGGTGCACACATAATTCCAGCTACTTAGGAGGCTAAGGCAGGAGGATTGCTTCAGCAACCCCCAGGAGTTCGAGACCAGCCTGGGGAACACAGCAAGAGCCCATCATCTCAATAAAAAAAAAAATAACGTATTTTCCATTATTGCATACATGAAGAATCAACATATCAAATAAAGCTTTTTCCAAAATAAAAACAACTTTATAGTTTCATTTCATAAACAACAGTACATACTATTTTACTGTTATCAGAATATAACCTTTATTTGTTCACTTTTTTTAAGCTATTATTTCTAAAATTGAGGTTAAGATTAACAATGTGTTAAAAACTTGTTCAATACAGACTAAATTTTATGTGTACGAATGCATTTTCTGTAAAAATAAAGTAAGCCCCCAGTTAGCATATATAAGCTTAACAGGAGATAACCCAAAATCAGGCAGAAACCAGGGAGTAGTGAAACACCACTTCAGAAGCACCATCAATGGCAATAGAAGGAACTGAGAAATCTTGGTGGGCTGAGACCTTGCTGACACAGAAAATGTCAGGGAAGGCAGGACACTTTTAAGAAAACTTGTGGCCAAGTGCAGTGGCTCACGCCTGTAATCCCAACACTTTGGGAGGCTGAGGTGGGTGGATCACCTAAGGTGAGGAGTTCAAGACCAGCCTGGCCAACATGGAGAAACCCCGTCTCTACTAAAAAAAAAAAAAAAAAAAAAAAATTAGCCAGGCATGGTGGCGCATGCCTGTAATTCCAGCTACTCGGGAGACTGAGGCAGGAGAATTGCTTGACCCCGGGAGACAGAGGTTGCAGTGAGGTGAGATTGTGCCAATGCACTACAGCCTGGGCAACAAGAGTGAAACTCCGTCTCCAAAAAAAAAAAAGAAAAAAAAGAAAAAAAAACTTGCAAACAAACATTATATGCTAGACAATAAACTAAGAACTTTTTAAGCTCAACATCACTGATCATTAGAGAAATGTAAATCAAAACTGTGATGAGATACCATCTCACGTCAGTCAAATGGCGATTATTGGCCTGGTGTGGTGGCTCACACCTGTCATCGCAGCACTTTGGGAGGCCGAGGCGGGCAGATCACTTGAGATCAGGACCTTGAGACCAGACTGGCCAACATAGCTAAACCCCATCTCTACTAAAAATACAAAAACAAGCTGGGCGTGGTGGCGGGCACCTGTAGTCCCAGCTACTTGGAAGGCTGAGGCAGGAGAATCGCCTGAACCCAGGAGGTGGAGAGGTTGTAGTGAACAGAGATCGCACCACTGTACTCCAACCTGGGCAACAGAGCAAGACTCAGTCTCAAGAAAAAAAAAAATCAGCCAGCATCCTGGGCAACTGTGGTCCCAGCTACTTGGGAGGCTGTCCAGGAGGCGGAGGTTGCAGTGAGCCAAGATTGTGCCACTGCACCCTAGCCTGGGCAGTAGAATGAGACTTTGTCTCAAAAAACAAAACAAGGCCAGGCGCGGTGGCTCAAGCCTGTAATCCCAGCACTTTGGGAGGCCGAGACAGGTGGATCACAAGGTCAGGAGATCGAGACCATCCTGGCTAACCCGGTGAAACCCCGTCTCTACTAAAAAATACAAAAAACTAGCCGGGCGAGGTGGCAGGCACCTGTAGTCCCAGCTACTCGGGAGGCTGAGGCAGGAGAATGGCGTGAACCCGGGAGGCGGAGCTTGCAGTGAGCTGAGATCTGGCCACTGCACTCCAGCCTGGGCGACAGAGCGAGACCCCATCTCAAAAAAAAAAAAAAGCAAACAAAAAAAAAAAAAAAAAAAGCCAAGCGTGCTGGTGGGTGCCTGTAGTCCCAGCTGCTAGGACCCGGTAGGCTGAGGTTGCAGTGAGCCGAGATCGCGCCACTGCACTCCAGCCTGGGCGACAGAGCGAGACTCTGTCTCAAAAAAACAAAAACAAAAACAAAAACAAAACAAAAAAAATGGCAATTAAAAAGTCAACAACAGATGTTGGCAAGGTTGTGGAGAATAAGGAATGCTTTTACATTGCTGGTGGGAGTGCGAATTAGTTCAACCATTATGGAAGGCAGGGTAGCAATTTCTCAAAGATCTAGAGGTAGAAATACCATTTGACCCAGCAATACCATCACTGGTATATACCCAAAGGAATATAAATCATTCTGTTATAAAGATACATGCACACATATGTTCACTGCAGCACTATTCACAATAGCAAAGACATGGAATCAACCCATATGTCCATCAATGACAGACTGGATTAAGAACATGTACATATACACCATGGAATACTATGCAGCCATAAAATGGAAAGATATAATGTCCTCTGCAGGGACATGGACTGAGCTGGAAGCTGTAATCCTCAGCAAACTAACAAAGGAACAGAACATCAAACACTGCATGTTCTCACTTATAAGTAGGAGCTGAATGATGAAAACACATGGACACATGGTGGGGGAAGCACACACACTGGGGCCTGTGCAGGAGGGTGCAGCGGGGGGAGGGAGAGCATTAGGAAGAATAGCTAATGGATGCTGTGCTCAATACCTAGGTGATGGGTTGTTCTGTGCAGCAAACCACCATGGCACATGTTTACCTATGTAATAAACCTGTACATCCTGTGCATGTACCCTGGAACTTAAAAGTTGAAAGAAAAAAAAGGCTAAGCGCACTCCAGCCAGGGTAACAAAGTGAGACACCTGTCTCTTAAAAGAGAGAGACAGACAGAAATATATTTAGACAGTTACCTCACCCCAGCTTTAGAAATGGGGCAATTTGGCTGGGCGCATTGGTCACACCTGTAATACCAGAAATTTGGGAGGCCGAGGTGGGTGGACCACTTGAGGTCAGGAGTTCAAGACCAACCTGACCAACACGGTGAAACTCGGTCTCTACTAAAACTACAAAATTAGCCAGGGGTGGTGGCACACACCTGTAATCCCAGCTACTTGGGAGGCTGAGGAAGGAGAATCACTTAAACCCAGGAGGTGGAGGTTGCAGTGAGCTGAGATCACACCACTACACTCCAGCCTGGCAACAAGAGTGAAACTCCATCTCGAAAAAAAAAAAGGAAAAAGGAATGAAGGAATTCAGGCACAACAAAACTTGCAGAAATACAGTCGAGTGTGTTGGCTCATACCTGTAATCCCAGCACTTGGGGAGACAGAGGCGATAAGATCGCTTGAGCTCAGGAGTTTGAGATCTATCTGAGCAACACAGTGAGACGCTACTGTTACAGGACAGGGATCCTGATCCAGACCCCAACAGAGGGTTCTTGGATCTCGCACAAGAAATAATTTAGGGCAAGTCCGCAGTGTGAAGTAAAAGCAAGTTTATTTAAAAAAATAAAGGAATAAAAGAATGGCTACTCCATAGAGCAGCGCTGAGGGCTGCTGGTTGTCCATTTTTATGGTTGTTCATGATATGCTAAACAAGGGGTGGATTTTTCATGCTTCCCCTTTTTAAACCATACAGGGTAACTTCCTGACTTTGCCACGGCATTTGTGAACTGTCATGGCGCTGGTGGGAGTATAGCAATGACGACGACCAGAGGTCACTCTCAGGCCATTTTGGTTTTGGTGGGTTTTGGCTGGCTCCTTTACTGCAACCTGTTGTATCAAGGTCTTTTTTTTTTTTTTTGAGATGTAGTCTCCTCTGTCACCCATGCTGGAGTGCAGTGGAGTGCACTGCACGCTGGAGTGCAGTGGCCGGATCTCAGCTCACTGCAAGCTCCGCCTCCCGGGTTCACGCCATTCTTCTGCCTCAGCCTCCCGAGTAGCTGGGACTACAGATGCCACCACCATGCCCAGCTAGTTTTTTGTATCTTTTAGTAAAGACGGGGTTTCACCATGTTAGCCAGGATGGTCTCGATCTCCCGACCTCGTGATCTGCCCGTCTCGGCCTCCCAAAGTGCTGGGGTTACAGGCTTAAGCCACCGCACCTGGCCATTAAGGTCTTTATGCCTTGTATTTTGTGCTGACCTCCTATCTCATCCTGTGACTTAGAATGCCTTAACCATCTGGGAATGCAGGGTCAGTAGGTTTTAGCCTCATTTTACCCAGCCTGCTTACGATGGAGTTGCTCTGGTTCACACACTCTGACATTCCCCCCACCTTTTATAAGAGAACCCTTAATCCTAAGGGTTGCAGAGGGACGAAGATCCACCTTCTATAACTTCTTCAGGCTAAACAGGGGCAATGATATTCCTGCCTGCCTATGAGGGTCTATTGCATTCAGGGTAGAAAGGAGCTCAGTCAGAAAGCATCAGTATGGTAAGGTTCATTCATAACTCGAGTTTCAACAAAAGGTGGTATCTGGAAGATTAATAAGAAAACATTCAGGCCAGGCACAGTGGCTCACGCCTGTAATCCCAGCACTTTGGTAGGCCGAGGCAGGCAGATCACGAGGTCAGGAGATCGAGACCATCCTGACTAACACAATGAAACCCTGTCTCTACAAAAAATACAAAAAATTAGCTGGGCATGGTGGCGGGTGCCTGTAGTCCCAGCTACTCTGGAGGCTGAGGCAGGAGAATGACGTGAACTCTGGAGGCTGAGCTTGCGGTAAGCAGAGATCATGCCACTGTACTCCAGCCTGGGCGACACAGTAAGACTCCGTCTCAAAAAAAAAAGAAAACATTCAGTAAGCTTGTCCTATATTCCTATGCAAAAAGTATAACAGCAATATATTCCATAAGAGTAAAGCGAAATAGGCTGGGTACAGTGGCTCACACCTGTAATCCAGCACTTTGGGAGACCGAGGTGGGTGGATTACCTGAGGTCAGGAGTTCAAGGCCAGCCTGGTGAAACCCTGTCTCTACTAAAAATACAAAAGTTAGCTGGGCGTTGTGGCGTGTGCCTGTAATTCCAGCTACTTGGGAAGCTGAGGCAGGAGAATCGCTTGAACCTGGGAGGTGGAGGCCGCAGTGAGCCAAGATGATGCCACTGCAGCCCAGCCTGGGCAACAGAACAAGACTCTGTCTCAAAAAGAAAGAAAAAAAAAAGAAGAGTAAAGCAAAACAAGTAAAGTTATTCCAAGTAAAAAACTAAATTAGAAGGCTTTTCATTAACTGGGCAACTGTTGGAACTAAGCTGATACAGGGTTGTTAGCTGATTGTAATGTGCCCAGAATTAGAATACTTATCCAGATTTTTAAATTACCCATCCCTCTTGTTTCTTCCGAGCAACAGTTAGAGATTACTGGTTGGTTTACAAGAATAAGCAGAGTTAGCCTAAATTGCAGAAACAAACTTAAAAACAATTAAGGAGACTAGAATTTAATAACAAGCGTACCACAGTTTTTGAAACATAGTATTTCTCTTTCCAGTTTCCCATTTTTACTAAAGACAAATTACAGCAAGACTGATTTGCTTTATTATACTTGGCCTGATTGTTTGTATAAAGTGCAGCAAGAATAATGATTTTTCACATAGGCTTTTTAATTGGCTTTGATGGAACTCTGTTTCATAAGGAATCTCAGATAAGACTTTTTTAAAAGCCGAGCCCTGACATGGGTTTGTATCCTCAAATACCTATAAGTTGGGTAAATTTCTCTCCTTTTGAGGTCCCAAGATAACTTGGGGTTCCTGGACAGGTGAGAAAGTGACATTCTTTACTTACCATAGGTCAGAAACCTCGTACAGGAACTGTGTAGGCAAGGTATGAGACTAGTTCCCCAAAGGGCTTTTATTGGCTCTACAAGTCAAGTTTGATTCCTTAAAGGAAAGCACACCATTCCAGTCAAAGCCTTGGTAAAATAACCAATTTCTCCAATTGTATCCTGTTACAAAAGAAAACAGATTCTTATTGCACTTATGTGAATAACTACATTGCCATAAGTTAAGAATACTCACAACTAGTTTCTAAATTCTGGAGAAATCTGATATAGAGAAACAAATATGTTCCAAATTTCGTTCACAGCAATATACTTTACTCAATTGCTACAAACTGTAAATAGCTCCAATGAAAAGTTTCCTTGACTCTGAAAAACAAAAAAGGATCAGCAGCATTTTAATCCAAGTTAAAGAGATTACTTCAGTTTTCTATTGGTTCAGCTGATTCAGTTAACTGTTTCATTTGATATTCATGAACATTCTAGCTCTTCACGAGAGTTCTGAAAGTTGTTTCCTCTATTCTAATGTTACAATTTCCAAAGTTATTAGAAACCTGCATTTAAGAACAGCTGCTGGCCGGGCGCGGTGGCTCACGCCTGTAATCCCAGCACTTTGGGAGGCCGAGGCGGGCGGATCACAAGGTCAGGAGATCCAGACCACGGTGAAACCCCATCTCTACTAAAAATACAAAAAATTAGCCGGACACAGTGGCGGGTGCCTGTAGTCCCAGCTACTCAGTAGGCTGAGGCAGGAGAATGGCATGAACCCGGGAGGCAGAGCTTGCAGTGAGCCGAAATAGCACCACTGCACTCTAGCCTGGGTGACAGAGCAAGACTCTGTCTCAAAAAAAACAAAAAGAACACCTGCTAGAGTTCTATAGCTGATTATAAACCATCTTCTAAACAGGATTAAAACAAGACAGCAATTGTCTGTGGATGATAAAAAGTTTTAGGAGAGTCACTATTAAAGCCACAAATGATAAGGAAATGTGGTTACTTCTGTGGCACACAATATTTTGCATCACGATTATAATTAGTAACACACACTAAATCATATTAGAATTACAGGAGTTTTCCATAACTTTGGAACATATACCAATAATATAGTTATGTAAATATAACACAAAGCAAAACACCATTTCATATTTGATAATGCCTCCTGTATGACTTTTTTTTTTTTTTTTTTTTTTGAGATGGAATCTTGCTCTGGCACCCAGGCTGGATGGAGTGCAATGGTACAATCTCGGATCACTGCAGCCTCCCCCGCTAGGTTCAAGCACTTCTCCTGCCTCAGCCTTTGGAATAGATGGGACTACAGGTGCGCACCACCATGCCCAACAGCTAACTTTTGTATTTTTTGGTAGAGATGGGGTTTCACCACGTTGGCCAGGCTGGTCTCAAACTCCTAACCTCAGGTGATCCGCCTGCCTCAACCTCCCAAAGTGCTGGGATTACGGGTTTGAGCCACTGCGCCCGGCCAACTTAGAACAATTCTTTAACCCTTAAGCCAAAAAACCCCTACATTTCCATGCCTTCTTATAATCTTTTACCAAAAGTACATTCTACTTTCCTTACACACCTTACATGTAAAACTGACTCTTCAACAGTCTCAATCACATGTTCCAATTTTAACTTTTAGCGACTTTTACTTTTGGTGAAAACCCTGGTTAGTAAGGAATTTTAATTATGTACTAGGTGTGGAGCCTAGCCTAGGACACACCAGGCAGAAGTGCAGATAAGAGCTGACTCTTCAGCACAGCTAGGGGTGTGGCTAACTCCACATGTCCCCAGGCCTTATCTATAATCTAATGGCTTTAAGGTAGGGTAAATTGAACAATTTTTAAAAGTCAAAGAAACAGGCTGGGTATGGTGGCTCACGTAATCCCAGCACTTTGGGAGGCCGAGGTGGGCAGATCACGAGGTCAGGAGATGGAGACCATCCTGGCTAACACAGTGAAACCCTGTCTCTACTAAAAATACAAAACAATTAGCCGGGCGTGGTGGCAGGCGCCTGTAGTCCCAGCTACTTGGGAGGCTCAGGCAGGAGAAAGGCGTAAACCCGGGAGGCGGAGCTTGCAGTGAGCCGAGATTGCACCACTGCGCTCCAGCCTGGGTAACAGAGCGAGACTCTGTCTCAAAACAAAACAAAAAAAAGAAAGAAAGAAAAAAAAAGTCATTGAAACAGTTTATGGCCTTAAATCATTTAACAAACTTAGTACCTGACCTGCATACTTAAGACTAACATTTTTATCAATAATTTTAAAGCTGTTTTTCTTTCCCAAAGATTACTAAAGTTACATGAACTAAAAGGCATTAGTTTTTATTTTGCTTTCAAAATATTTGATTTAAATGTTTTTGTTTAAGCCGATCAGAGCTCTTTTATATATATATTACACACAACACCTATATAGCTACACAGAAAGACAGAAGATGATGACTACAGTGGTTGTAAGATTTTTCATCTGCCAGTTTTTAAATTTCTTAATTGAATTACTGGATTCGGGGTGGAGCCCTTGGAAGAACAGGGCCAAGAAAGGGGTCTCTGATGCTTTGTTTTTCCCAAGGAGTCCAGACTGTTACAGCTTGAACATCTGCTTTTAATTAAACTGATTTTAACAATAGCACTCTTTAATAAAGTCCTTTTAGAAGTTTCTATGCCAAATGGCTGGTATTTCCGGCTTTTGAACTTTATCAAAGGTAACCTCCCAGGTGTTTAGAAAAACGAAAATATAAAACAGTTCACAGAGAAGAGAATAGATAAGGTCACACAGATATTAAACCAGAAACGACTTACTTCCTAGATGGGGAACTGAACCCGGACTGCTGCCGTGAAAGTGGCCGGGTGCAGTGGCTCATGCCTGTAATCCCAGCACTTTAGGAGGCTGAGGCAGGCAGATCACCTGAGGTCATGAGTTTGAGACCAGCCTGCCCAATATGATGAAACCCCATCTGTACTAAAAATACAAAAATTAGCTCGGCGTGGTGGCACACACCTGTAGTCCCAGCTACTTGGGAGGCTGAGGCAGGCAAATCACTTGAACTTGGGAGGTGGAGATTGCAGTGTGCCAAGATCGTGCCACTGCACTCCAGCCTGGGCAACAGAGCGAGACTCCAACTAAAAAAAAAAAAAAAAAAAAAAAAAAAAAAAAGAAAGTGCACGAGCTTAGCTACTGAGCTACAGCACAGGGCGGTCTCTTCACTTTCCCAGAAGGAGTCTAGAGTAGTTAATTTTGAGCTTATATTATAACGGCTTTTAACTACTTAACATGATTTTTAGAGCTAACTATGACATGAACCCTGAAATTCCTGTTCCCTGAAGATGGGGACCAAAAGAAAGTACCACCACAAGGTTAAAAGGTCAAGTTTCCAAGGACATAAAACAAGGTGGAGACTTCACCAATCTTTCATTTGTTTCAGGGACCTGCAGCCAAGTATGTTACTGACCAGCTTGCTGGGTCATCTTGAAAAGCGGGCTTTTTTTTTTGAGATAGAATCTCACTCTGTTGCCAGGCTGGATGCAGTGGCACAATCTCGGCTCACTGCAACCTCCGCCTCCTGGGTTCAAGAGATTCTCCTGCCTCAGCCTCCCGAGTAGCTGGGACTACAGGCGCACGTCACCACACCCAGCTAATTTTTGTATTTTTAGTAGAGATGGGGTTTCACCATGTTGGTCAGGATGGTCTCGATCTTCTGACCTCATGATCCACTTACAGGTGTTCTAAGCCTGTGTTTTATCCTAAAGTACCCTTTGACACAGAAAAATGAATTCAAAGCACAAAATACACCAGCTTAAGACTAGCCTTAGAATTCTTTTTCACATTAATCAAAACTTTACAGAGGAGATAAACACTGATTTATTCATTATTATTATTAATATTTTTTTTTTGAGACAGACTCTGGCTGTGTCGCCCAGGCTGGAGTACAATGGTGCTATCTCAGCTCAGTGCAACCTCTGCCTCCCAGGTCAAGTAATTCTCCTGCCTCAGCCTCCATACAAGTAGCTAGGACTACAGGCACACGTGCCTGCACACCAGGCTAATTTTCTGTATTTTTAGCAGAGACAGGGTTTCACCATGTTGGCCATGGCTAGTCTCAAACTCCTGACCTCAGGGGATCCACCCGCCTCAGTCTCCCAAAGTGCTGGGATTACAGGCATGAGCCACCATGCCAGGCTGATTTTTTTTTTTTTTTTTTTTTAAACCATTCACTTAACCATTTGTACGGTGAGAGAGAAGCCAGAAATGTGACTGGTAATAAATTCTTACCCTTTTGCCAGCATCCCAGGCTTCTGGGCTCCCTTTCCCTTAGTGGTCCTAGTGTTCAAGCTCGCGGCATCACTGCCCTGGGGGCCAAGTCGTATCATAAAGGAAAATTATCTTTTTTTCGTTCTGGCCAGAGCAAAATACGTGTGATAAAACAAAGACATCAGCCACTCCGCTTAGCACCCAATATCAAACTAGCAAGGCTTAAATCTGCCCCCAGATGGGCCTGTCATCTTTAATTCAACCTCCGACTTGGAATTTCAATATGTAGTCTCTAGGCAAGGTGGTCGCCCTGAGTAATAGAAAACATAAGAAACTCGAAGTAGAGAAGAAAAGTATTGCCTGTAGCAGGGTGGGGAAGCTGATGAGCTTAGGGAGGCCAGAGAAAAAGACCCACTCATTGCAGCCGACAATGAAAACTTCAAGACGCCGCTTGTCCGTAGCAAATGAGCCTTTTCCAGCAGTCCCATCAGCTCTCAAGTTTCCCCTTTTAGGGAGGAAAAAGCTCCCCATGTCCCACGATCCTGTACATACCTAACCCTGTCACCCACAGCCATCAACAAACAGCATAAGACAGATTAATCCAAAAAGAACAGCAGTTAACATCCCATAGTGCCAAACCTGTTCTTAGCTGAGAGGGACTTAACTCAGAGGGGACTCTAACTCCCTACATCTTAGAAGGGCCTCCAACCCAGGGTCGGTCAAGTGTCCTTGCCTTTTATTAAGAGGGGCCTCTAACCCACTGTGTCTTAGGAGAGACTCCTAGACATAAATACTGTTGTTTCTGCAGTATAGTCGCTTCTGCGGCCACCACAAATATGTTACAGGACCCCCACACTTACCCAAAGGTAGCCATTGGGTCAGGGTTTCTGCACTATAGTCCCTTTGTGGTCGCCCGAAATGTTACAGGACAGGAATCCCGATCCAGACTCCAACTGAGGGTTCTTGGATCTCGCACAAGAAATAATTCAGGGCAAGTCCACAGTGCGATGTAAAAGCAAAATTATGAGGAAAGTAAAGGAATAAAAATAATGGCTACTCCATAGACAGAGCAGCCCCGAGGCCTGCTGGTTACCCATTTTTATGGCTGTTTCTCAGTGATATGCTAAACAAGGGGTGGACTATTCACGCCTTCCCTTTTTAGACCATAAAGGATAACTTCCTGACGTTGCCATAGGATTTGTAAATGGCACTGATGGGAGTGTAGCAGTGAGGATGACCAGAGGTCCCTCTTGGGGCCATGTCGGTTTTGGCCGGCTTCTTTACTGCAACCTATTTTATCAGCAAGGTCTTTACCACCTGTATTTTGTGCTGATCTGTCTCCTCCTGTGACTTCGAATGCCTTAACTGTCTGGGAATGCAGTCCAGTAGGTTTCAGCCTCATTTTACCCAGCTCCTGTTTAAGATGGAGTTGTTCTGGTTCACACGCCTCTGACACCATCTCTATTTAAAAACAAAACAAAACAAAAAACCCCAAAAAACTGGCAAAGATAGCACAGCCTATATTTAAAGTCAGAAGGGACTGCCACCTGCTGGTGATCGGGTAGGAATGGACAGATAGCTCACAGACCAAACCTAAAAGATAATGGCAAGTATTAAAGAGCTAACACGTTCGACTTTAGGGGAACAGTATTGATTCTAATTAAGACACGGAGGTAACTGCACATGATAAACTCCAAAGAAAACACAGCATTTTAGAAGAACGCATTTCTGTTAACAAAAACCTCAGGTTAAAATGCATTCTGCGACATAAATACCTACAGACTCATCACTGGTGAGGCCAGTTTGACAAAGATGCCTGCCAGATCCACGCCGAGCTTCTAAAGCCTAAAGGTTCTCAAAGAGTACCACCCGCCCAATCAACGCTCTCCAAAACACTAACTCCACAACCAGACATTTCACATTGCAGTCATTTCAAAGCGATTCAGCGGCCCGCTGCAAAGCATCGATGAAACTGAGAAATGCCGGGCTTCGTTTTATGACATACAAGACAAAAGAGAAAGTCACCCTCGGCTGGGTCGCCCATCCAAAAGGGAACAGACACCCATGTGTCATTCCCAGGCGGTGGGAAAGCCGCCTACTGTCCCCACTCTGTCTCCGCTGCCAGGCACATCTCTCCAGAATTGTCTGGGGCGTGCGCGATGCCGTGCTTCTGTTGCCCGCTACACTGCAAGCTCCAGGAGGATAATGGGCACCTCTTCCCTCAGGGTCGCCAGCGCCGACGCGCTTAGAGGACCCTGTCGCGGGGTTAACCAGACCCGGGTTCCGCTCGGCGGACACCGCGCCGAGGCCATAGCCGCGCCGCCGTCTGCCAGGCTCCTGGCCCAACCTCGAAACCTCCCACGGAGAGCTCGCGCCTGCGACCGCAAAGGACGGCTCCTGAGGCAAAAGCCACCCCGCGGCGGGCGGTTTCCAGCTTTACTTTTATTTGGGAGCGAGGGGAACGCGACACACTAGTGGAAGGGCTCAGCGCAGCACCACGGCGCGGGGGCCGGAAGCGCGGGCGGCCCCTCCCCCTTCCGCTGCGCCCCTCCCCCACCGCCACCACCGCGCGCGACCCCCACTCGGCGCGCGACCCGCTCTGCGTCCCCGCCGGCGCCACGTTCCCGCGTCCTTCGCCGCCCGGGCCACGGGGCACGTCCCTCCCCGCCCCCCACTTACCTGTGGCTGCTGCCTCGCCGCTCTCCAGGGCGGGAACTTCCACTCCCCCCTCCCAGGTAGATCGGAATTCACTACCCACGTCCCCACCCCCTCACGCAGCGGGGGACTAGCCTCCTTCTCGGGGGTCAGGTGGGGCGGGGAGAATTAGTGTCACTTAACAGCCAACTGTCCTAAGGTACCGTTTGCTCGGCAGTCAGGGCTGCCACTGGCGGCATGATCTACACCAGGCCGGGGGCGGGGGCGGGGGCGGGGGCGGGGGGGTGCAAAACTGAGTACAAGTGTGCGCTGGGGAGAAGCTACGGCGCTGCCTCCGCGCGGGCCGCCGTCCTGCGTCACCGCGCTGCCCACGTGACGCGCCGCCATCTTGTACGCGGTCCTGACTTGTGGCTAGGGGTGTCTCGGAACGCGTTCCTGACGCTACCGGGAGAGAGGGAGGCTGCCCGCGGTTCCGTTTCTCCTTAGGAGCGGTACCCTGCCCCGCCCCGCCCCGCCTCACGTCCGCTTCCGGAGGCCATGAGCAGCTGGGTGCTCGCAGGAGGCCGTTTCATCGATGAGTGGCGGCGCTGTCAACTCAACTCCGGCCAGTTGACGTTGACCGACGCCGGCTTGTTCTCCTTCCTCAGCCTTTATTTTTTTTTTATATATATATATATATATTTTTTTTTTTTTAAATGGAGATGGAGTCTTTTTTTTTTTTTTTCCCCGAGATTGAGACGGGGGTCTCGCTCTGTGGCCCAGGCTGTAGTGCAGTGGCGCGATCTCGACCCATTGCAGCCTCCAACCCTGGGATTCAAGCGATTCTCCAACCTCAGCCTCTGGGGTAGCTGGGACCACAGGCGCGCGCCACTACCCTCGGCTTGAAGAGAAGAGGACTCACTATGTTGCTCAGGCTGGTCTTAAACTTCTGGGCTCAAGTGATCCTCCGCTTCGGCCTCCCAAAGTCCTGGGATTACAGGCGTGAGCCACCGCGCCCGGCCTTACTCAGGGTTTTCTTAATCCCATAAAGTAACATTGAGTTGTGTCCTTTAACCCATGTGGAAGGATTTTCTACAGAAACGGATTTACAATGAGACGTAACAAGGTGGCTGGGCGCGGTGGCTCACGCCTGTAATCCCAGCACTTTGGGTGGCCCAGGCGGGCGGATCACCTGAGATCGGGGGTTCGAGACCAGCCTGACCAACACGGAGAAACCCCCGTCTCTACTAAAAAAAATACAAAAGTAGCCGCGTGTGGTGGCGCATGCCTGTAATCCCAGCTACTCGGGAGGCTGAGGCAGGAGAATCGCTTGAACCCGGAAGGCAGAGGTTGCGGTGAGCCGAGATCACGTCATTGCACTCCAGCCTGGGCAGCATGAGCAAAACTCCGTCTCAAAAAAAAAAAAAAAAGAAAAGAAAAGAAAAGAAAAAAGAAACGTAACAGAGTGTTAATAAACTGTTATGCTGTTGTTTTAATGCATTACAAAAACTTTTCAGAATATTTTTGTGTCTACCTCTCTGGAAAAGGAATTATGCCTTATTCTTAATTTTTAAAATTTCCTTGCAAAATGCTGTTTTATTGTTTTAATGATAGTAAACAACAAAAGATAAATTTTTTTAGTATGCTCTTGACAGAAAGTTCCAAAAGTTTTCTGAAATTTTGCTAGTTTGAGATCCCTAATTTAGGAAACTGATTTAGTGGAGAGAGCTTTTCCTATTTTGGGCCCTTTGGATCGAAGAATGTGATGTAAAGCCGAAGATTTACTCTGTTAGACCCTTTTAAGAGGTCACTAACGTTTAGCTATTGACATTCAGCAAACATTATTGATTACCTATTAAATGCTAGACCGGGAAACAACTGTTAAGTCAGTGTTTCAGCATTACTGAGAGAAAAGTGGCCTATAAAGGTAAGGGAGGGGAAGAGTGTCTCAGATATCAGCCTTCAATGATTAACAAAGTCCACCCTCAGTCATTCTGGAATCCAGAATATTGATGGCTGGAAGGCTGGTTGTACGAGTTTACTGATCTTTGGTGTTTGGGTTTTTCTTCCGTGGAGCACAGAATGCTTAACAAAAGTTGATCAGTAAAAAGCAGGGGAGGGGCCGAGCGCGGTGGCTCACGCCTGTAATCCCAGCACTTTGGGAGGCTGAGGCGGGTGGATCACCTGAGGTCAGGAGTTCGAGACCAGCCTGACAAATATGGCGAAACTCCGTCTCTACTGAAAATACAAAAATTAGCCGGACGTGGTGGCATGAGCCTATAGTCCCAGCTACTCGGGAGGCGGAGACAGGAGAATCGCTTGAAGCCAGGAGACGGAGTTCGTGGTGAGCCGAGATCGCACCACTGCACTCCAGGCTGGGCAACAGAGTGAGACTATGTCTCAAAAAAACCCAAAAAACCACAACTCAGTTGACAGAGGAAAAGAAGAAAAAGTTATGCTTGTTCAACACTGCCCCTCAAAAATACTTCTGCCGTTTCTCTTTCTCATTGAAGTGTCATAGCTGTGCCTACCAGTCTTCTGAATTGTGATAACTAGATGAAAAAAAAAAAAAAGAGGTCTTGATTCTGATGCATGCAGTTTATTTGAATAGTAACTTTCATAAACCAGATGGACAGATCTTTAATTTTAGAAGCAAGGAAAGAGAAACAAAGAAACTTAGGGCCATGGCTGGGCATGGTGGCTCAAGTCCGTAATCCCAGCACTTTGGGAGGCCAGGGCGGGCAGATCACTGGAGGTCAGGAGTTCAAGACCAGTATGGCAAAAGCCTCTCTACCAAAAATACAAAAAATTAGCTGAGCATAGTGGAGCACACCTGTAATCGCAGCTACTTGGGAGGCTGAGGCAGGAGAATCGCTTGAACCCAGGGGGCGAAGGTTGCAGTGAGTCGAGATTGTGCTACTGCACTCTAGACTGGGTGACAGAGCAAGACTCCACCTCAAAAAAAAAAGAAAAAGAAAGAAAAACCTAGAACCAAAGGTAATTTTTTTTTTTTTTTGAGACAGAGTCTTGCTCTGTTGCCCCGGCTGGAGTGCAATAGCGGGATCTCGGCTCACTGCAACCTCTGCCTTCCGGGTTCAAGTGACTCTCCTGCCTCAGCTTCCTGAGTAGCTGGGATTACAGGCATTTGTGACTACGTCTGGCTAATTTTTGTATTTTTAGTAGAGATAGGGTTTCACCATGTTAGGCTGGTCTCAAACTCCTGACCTAAGGTGATCCACCTGCCTCAGCCTCCCAAAGTGCTGGGATTACAGGCGTGAGCCACCGCCTCCGGCCTAAAGTAATGTTTCTTAAAAATAAACTGGGCAAGCCTGTGGTAGCACCACTTTGGCTCTTCTGGCACACTTTTTTGTTGTTAAAAAGGAGATGTGGCCAGGCGCATTGGCTCATGCCTGTAATCCCAGCACTTTAGGAGGCCGAGGCGGGCAGATCACCTGAGGTCAGGAGTTCGAGACCAGCCTGGCCAACATGGTAAAACCCTGTCTCTACTAAAACTACAAAAATTAGCTGGGCATACTAGTGCGCATCTGTAGTCCCAGCTACTCAGGAGGCTAAGGCAGGAGAATCGCTTGAACCCAGGAGGCAGAGGTTGCAGTGAGCTGAGATTATGCCACTGCAGTCCAGCCTAGGTGACAGTGCAAGACTGTCTCAAAAAAAAAAGAAAAAAATTAGCCAGGTGTGGTGGCGTTCACCAGTAATCCTAGCTACTTGGGAGGCTGAGGCAGGAGAATCACTTGAACTCGGGAGGCGGAGGTTGCAGTGAGCTGAGATCACTCCACTGCACTCCAGCTTGGGCAACAGAAGGAGATTCCATCCGCCTTCCCCAAAATAGGAGAGGTTATAATGAAATGAATTTAATAAGACTGCCTATCCCATAGGGTTTTGTAGACTGAATTGCTTTGATACATGTAAAGTTAGAGCTGTGCCTAGTACATAGTAAGCACTAAATAAATGTAGGATTTTTTTAGATGGTCTTGCTGTGTCGCCCAGGCTGGAGTACAGTAGCGCACGATCTCAGCTTACTGCAGCCTTGACCCCCTAGGCTCAAGCTATCCTCCCACCTTAGCCTCCCAAGTACCTGGGACTATAGATGTGCAGCACCACGCCCAGCTAATTTTTAAAGTTTTCTATAGAGAGAGGTTCCCTCTGTGTTGCCCAGGCTGGTCTCAAGCTCCTGAGCTCAAGTTATCCACCTTAGCCTCCCAAAGTGCTGAGATTGCAGGTGTGAGCCACAGAGCCTGGCCGGAACCTTCTTGATGTTGGTCAGAGCAGCCTGCAGCTTTCACGCACCTTTCTAAGCCCCCAGGTAGTGATGGTGACTGAAGCTCTAAGGGCAGAAGAGTCAAACCCTTACCCGGAAAAAGTAAATCTGTTCACGTGAGAACAAATCACTGGCCCTTCTATGATGAAAGAAGCCTGACGTTGTCAACTTGCTATGAAGTGGCCTAGTAGTCTTCTGAAGTGAGCAACATTGGGAGCTCACTGTTGGTCTCTGTCAGTGTTTAGTTGAGGTTTCAGAGACAGTAGTAGTTAAATCAGTTTTAGTAAGTAGGAGTCCATGCATAGCCTCCACCTCTGCCACTGTGGCCGCTCGATTCATATGCTCATTGTGCCAGTTCCAAGAAGTCAATAGGTAGCTGACATCAACCAGCCAAGTCCAGCCCAGGCTGGAGTGCAGTGCTGCGTTCTGGGCTCACTGCAACCTCTGACTCCCTGGTTCAAGAATTCTCCTGCCTCCCGAGTAGCTGGGATTACAGGCATGCACCATCATACCTGGCCGATATACCCGGAGCCTTTAAAGGTGAACCCACTGGGACTGGCTGGGGGAAAAGAGGAAGATTTTTTCCAGAAGGAACTGTCTAAGGGATGATAAAGATTTCTATACAAAGAAAGGGAATAATCATCACTTGTTGAAAACATTGATTTTATTTTTTCCGGGTCTGAGTAAAGAACAAAATGTATAAAAAATGGTAGGTATCTGTTTAAATATTTAACTGGTTTTATAATAGCAACCTTTTGCTCTTAGGTTACATAGTGTTAAATATTGTGTACATTTATATTTTCCAATCCAATAAGAACTTTATATATATATATGTGTATATTTTTTTGAGACAGAGTCTTACTCTGTTGCCCAGGTTGGAGTGCAGTGACACGATCTCAGATCACTGTAACCTCTGCCTCCCAGGTTCAAGCGATTCTCCTGCCTCAGCCTCCTGAGTAGCTGGGATTACAGGCACGCACCACCATGCCTGGCTAATTTTTGTATTTTTAGTAGAGACGGGGTTTCACCATGTTGGCCAGGCTGGTCTCCAACTCCTGACCTCAGGTGATCCACATGCCTCAGCCTCCCACAGTGCTAGGTTTACAAGCGTAAGCCACCATGCCCAGCTCTGATTTTTCTGTTTTTAGTAGAGATGGGGTTTCACCATGTTGGCCAAGCTTGTCGCGAACTCCTGGCCTCAAGCAATCCACCCACCCCGAGGTGGTGGATTTTGGTGGGAAGCATTGCTTCCCAAAATGCCGGGATTACAGGTGTGAGCCACTGCGCCCAGCCTTTTTTTTTTTTTTTTTTTAAATAACACTGTTACAGAAGAATGTCAGTTTACTCCAGGGCACTTCAGTATTCCTGAGGAATAAACAGTTTCTCTTTTCCTCCCACTGGGATGTTGTCAGGTGAAGTCACTGCTCCTGCTCTTTGACATATTTTCCATGTAGATGATATGGACCTGGAAATCAGGCCGATAGTTGGAGTAAGCCATTCCTAATCCCATGCCAGAACCGAAGGCTAATGGCCACACTCATCTTTTAAAGAAGGTAAGTAGGCCAGATGTGGTGGCTCACGCCTGTAATCCCAGCACTTTGGGAGGCCGAGGTGGGCGGATCACCTGAGGTCGGGAGTTCAAGACCAGCCTGACCAACATGGAGAAACTCCATGTCTACTAAAAATACAAAATTAGCTGGGCGTGGTGGTGCATGCCTCTAATCCCAGCCACTTGAGAGGTTGGGGTAGGAGAATTGCTTGAACCCAGGAGGCAGAGGTTGCAGTGAGCTGAGATCACGCCATTGCACTCTAGCCTGGGCAACAAGAGCGAAACTCAGTCAAAAAGGAGGGAGGGAGGCAGGAAGGGAGGGAGGGAAGGAGGGAAGGGAAGGAAGGCTAATTCAAAACTAGTACTTATCATCATGGCCACATCTGCCAGGCACCAATCTCACTTCCTGCCAAGCTTCTACTCCAGCATCTCCCCACCCATGGCTTCCTATCTCATTTAGTTTATTGAATACTATACTGAAAGTGGAAAACATTGATTTTATGGGTACTCAAAGTATGGTTTCTACTGACTGCATCACTTTTGCACCATTGTAAAGTTGAAAAATTATAAGTTGAACCATCATAAGTCAGACTGTATTTTATTCCTTTTGATGCTATTTCAAATGTAATTGTTTTATGTATTTTATTTTTAGAAAGTTCCTTGCTAGTGAATAGAAATAAAATTGATTTATATTGCTCTTGTATTCTTCAACCTTGTGAAAGTCACTTATTCCTTTTTTTTAGTGTTTTCTTAAATTTTTAAAAATTTTTGTAGGTACATAGTAGGTGAATATATTTCTGGGGTACATGAAATGTTTTGATACAGGCATGCAATATGAAATGAGCACATCATGGAGAATGGGGTAACCATCCCCTCAAGCAGTTATCTTTTAAGCTACAAATAATCCAATTATATTATTTAAAAATATACAATTAAGTTATTGACTATAGTCACCCTATTTATTCTAATTGCATATTCTTGTACAAGCCATTTTATCTGTGAATAGAGATAGCTTTTATTCCTCTTTTCCTCTGGGTGCCTTTTCTTTCTTTTTCTTGCCTAATCGCTCTGGATAGACCTTTAGTACAACATTGAATAGAAGAGGTGAGAACAGACTTTCTCTTCCCTTGTTTCCAATGTTAGGGAGAAAGAGCATTCAGTTTTTCACTATTAAGTGGAGTGTTACTGAGTTTTTCACAGATGGTCTTTAACAGATTTAGAATTCACCTTCATTTTTTTTTTCCCCCCAGAAATGCAGTCTCACTATATTGCCCAGGCTGGTCTCAAATTTCTGGGCTCAAGCGATCCTCCTGCCTCGGCCTCCCAAAATGCTGGGATTACAGATGTGAGCCACTGTGCCAGGCCCACCTTCATTTTTGAAGACGAGTTTCACTGGATATAGAATTCTGAATTGACAGTTTTTAACTCCTAGCAGCCTCAATGTATTCTATGTTCTGCTGCCTTCCATAGTGTTTAATAAGAAGTTGGCTATCATTTGTATCATTGTTATCTGGTATGTAATATGTCATTTTCCCAGGCTTCTTTGAAGACTTTTGCTTTATTTAAGTTTAGCAGTTTGCCCATGACTCTGCCTAAGCGGTTTTCTTTATATTTATACTGCTTGCTGCTTCTTGAGCTTCTTCAGTCAGTAAACGTATGTCTTTCCAAATCTGGGAAGCTTTTGCCATTATTTCTTCACAGATTTTTATGTCCCATTCTCTCTCTCCTCCATCTGGAACTCCAATTACAATAAGTTAGACCACTTAATATTTTCCCACAGGTCTCTGAGGCACTATTTTTTTCTCCAATCTTTTTTCTCTTTGTTCTTCAGATTAATCTATTGATCTATCTTAAAGTTCAGTTATTCTTTTTCACCTGAGGTCAGGAGTTCGAGACCAGTCTGGCCAACAAACTGCATCTCTACTAAAAATACAAAAACTAGCTGGGCGTGGTGGCAGGTGCCTGGAATCCCAGGTACTCGGGAGGCTGAGGCAGGCAGAACTGATTGAACCCGGGAGGCGGAGTTTGCAGTGAGCTGAGGTTGCACCACTGCACTACAGCCTGGGTGACACAGTGAGACTCCATTTCAAAAAAATAATAATAAATAAAATGAAATAAAAAAGTTTGTCCAAATTTTATAATTTGTATCTTTAGGAGGGTTAATCTGACCAAGTTACTTCATGATTATAATAAGCTAGAGACTCCTGTTTTCTGTTCATCTTGTCTTCAATGATCTTGTCAAAATGTTTTTAGATTATCCTGTATTTTCTCCATAGATTATCATTTTATCTCTAAATATTAATGTTTTTGTTCTTTTGTATCTAATTCATATAGCTCACTTATTTTTCCCTAACTATGCTAGCTATAATCTCATCTGAGACCCAGACTAGGATAATTTGAAGACTGGGCTCAGCTGGGACTACTGACCAAAGCACCTAAACATAGTGCCTCTTCAGAGCTTGGGCGTCTTACAGCATAGCAGCTAGGTTCTAAAAGGGAGCATCAGGAAAGTCAGCATTTTAAGCTCAAGCTGCTGCTCATCCACACCAAAAGTCATGCACATCATTTCGGCCACATTCTATTGATCAGACCATATTTGAGGGGAAAGGACTGTACTTCTTAATGAGGGAATGTCAGGATAACATTGCAAAGAGCACATGGGATGGAATATAACGTGTGAAGATATATTGGAAAATGCAGTCTCCACATTAGCAAAGCAAACCCAATGGTGTATAAGAAATAATAGATGATCAAAAGGGGTCAAATCAAGGATGGTTCAATATTAGAAAAATCTCTGGCTGCTACAGATGTGTAAAGAAATTAGTAAAATCTATTTATATAATACATCTTAACCAGCTTAAAGGAAAAAACTATGTGATCATCTCATAGATCCGGGCGGGGGGGTGGGGAGGAAAAGATAAACTTCAACACTCATGCAAAAAATCCAGCAAGCACGGAATAAACTTTTTTTTGAGATGGAGTCTCCCTCTGTCACCCAGGCTGGAGCACAGTGGTGCAATCTCAGCTCACTGCAACCTCTGCCTCTGGGTTCAAGCAATTCTCCTGCCTCAGCCTCCTGAGTAGCTGGGATTACAGGCGCCCGCTACCACACCTGGCTAATTTTTGTAATTTTTAGTAGAGACTTCACCATGTTGGCCAGGCTGGTCTCCAACTCCTGGCTGCAAGCAATCCACCTGCCTCAGCTTCCCAAAGTGCTGGGACTACAGGTGGGAGCCGCCATGCCCAGCCAGAATAGATTTTTTTTTTTTTTTTTTTTTTTAAAATGGGTTCTTACTCTTGTCACCCAGGCTGGAGTGCAGTGGTGCAATCTCAGTTCATTGCAACCTCCGCCTCCTGGGTTCAAGTGATTCTCCTGCCTTAGCCTCCCAAGTAGCTGGGATCACAGGTGCCTGCTACCATGCTCAGCTGTCTTGTTTTTTTTGTTTGTTTGTTTGTTTGTTTTTGTATTTTTAGTAGAGATGGGGTTTTACTGTGTTGGCCAGGCTGGTCTCAAACTCCTGACCTCAGGTGATCCACCCACCTCCGCCTCCCAAAGTGTTGGGATTACAGGCATGAGCCACTGCATGTGGCCTAGACTTCTTTAACTGATAAAGCATATCTATCAACAACATACAGTAAAAAGAATACACAATGGTGATACTTCAGAAGCACTACTAGAAAAGTCAAGACTATGAGGAGGATACTCCCTTTATATCACTTTCTACTCAGTTGTGGTTTATGCCACTAAGTTGGGGTGGTTTGTTACACAGCAATAAATAACTGAAACACTGAGATTTTTATTTTTATGAGACAGGATCTCACTTGCTGTCCAAGCTGGAGTACAGTTGCACAATCATGGCTCACTGCAGCCTCAAACTCCTGGGCTCAAGTGATCCTCCGCCTTAGTCTCCTGAGTAGCTGGGACCACAAACGCGTGCTATCATGCCCAGCTATTTATTTATTTTTCTTAGAGATAGGGTCCCATTAAGTTGCCCAGCCTTGTCTCCAACTCCTGGCATCAAGCCATCCTCCTACCTTGGCCTCCTGAAGATTACAGA